GATTAGGTCACCGGTACCCTACCCTAGCCTTAAACCTCGGTTAGGGTTTTCTTAGGGTTTTTGTAGGGTTTAGGGTTCCTCAAAACCCCCCTACTTCCCCGTCCTCTTCGGGCACCCTGGACCCGAACCACCCCTCCCCCTTTGATGGCGCCCGCCGTTCGCCGCTTTCTACCGCGGACTTCCCCCTACGCCCTCCGCTCACGCGGACCTCTTCTGGCCCCCTCCAGTCCGGTCCGTCATCTCCCCATGGCCGACGGTGCGTCACACGCCGTCGACACGGCGATGACCACGGCATTGGGCTCCACACCCGTGCCGGCGGACGAGGGCCATCAGCCCCAGGGGGATCTACACACCCTCCTCACGTCCCTCCTTGCGCCCATCCAAGCGCAACTGGCGACCCTCATGCCCATCTAGGCGCAACTCGCGACCCTCGGGCCCTTACAGGCGCAGGTGGCGATCCTTGCTGCCGGCGTGCAGCAACTCCAGGACGTTGGTCATCCTTCCTCTCCTCATCCTCTCTCTTCTCCTGGCTCTCAGTCCGGGTCCCCAGTTCTCCGACAGGGTGGCCACGGCGGAGTTTCCTCCTTTGTCGCCCCCGACCCGACCATTTTGGTGACTGTCCACACCCCTAGCTCGACGGCCGCCACGAGTCAGGCCCTTCCTCAGTCTACGGGCACACCGGCCCTGATTCCGGTTATGACGGCCACAGGACCACAACCCGTTACCATGGTCTCAGCGTTTTCGGGTGCCCCGCTCCTTCCCCCCCTTCGCACGACCGCAGCACCACCTGGCTCTCCCCCCTCTGGGATGCCCCGCGCCGCTTGTGCATCCACTTCCTCCACTCTTCCCCCTGCTACCCCTCGCACGACCTACGTTCGCATCCACTTCCTCCACTCTTCCCCCTGCTACCCCTCGCACGACCAACGTTCGAGGTCTCGAGGACGAGATTGCCCAGCTCCGGGCCAACCTCGCCCTCTTACGCCTTCAGCCACCCCCACCCTCACAGGTGGCTGTGCCTTCGGGCGCACCCCCTACCTCCTCTACCCTTCCTCCCATGCAGGCTCGCTTTCCGCGCCCTGCACCCTATACAACTCCTTCCTTCCTTCTTCCTACTCCCGCGGTTGCTGCGACCTCTTCTACCGCAGCACCCTCGCAGCCTGCCGCTGTTGCCACCGCCGCTCCCCCATGCGGCCCGGGCGCACAGTCAGCTGCGCCCCTTTCTCCAGGACCTGCTCCGACTTACTCAGTCGTGGCACAGGCCTCCGCTCCTCGATCCCCTCGCCGCCAAAACGGTGGCGCGCCACTCATCCGCTTGTCGGACATTGCCTTGTATGACGGTACAGGCATACGCGTGTCTCGGTGGCTGCAGTCTGCCACCCGCACACTCCAGCTCATGGGCGCCACACCCGAGATGTGGGTGGGTCACCTCTCCACGCGCCTGCGTGGCGGTCCTTTCGAGGTCTGGGAGGATTTCTATGCCTACTCCCTTCGTGAGGGTCGGACTCCGACCTTCGTGGATTTCCAAGCGTTCCTCGAGGATCCCTTCGGAGCCCGATACGACGTGACTGACGCCTTCGAGCGTGTCGTCACTACACGCTGGTCCGGCTCTGGTGGCGCTGYCGGCCTGGATCRCCACATCCAGGTCTTTCAGGACGCCCGCCTCGTTTGCGACGTGGCGTTCCTCCCCGAGGCTGCCCTTATCGATCGTTTCTTGGCCAGCTTTCCACTCGAGTACCGCTCCGAGCTATGGCGGTACGAGTTCACATCGGCCCCACAGACTTACGCGGCCGCCAGGGACCACCAGCGGATGCGAGCCCGTCTTCACCCCGCCTCCTCCTCCCAGCCCCAGTGCACGGGCTACGCCTCCTCCTCCTCTCACGGCACTTCCCAGCGCCGTTCCCCTTTCCGCGGTCGCCC